GACTTTCGGGACTGGCAGACACTAGGCAAGGCAAGAGTAGTACGGAGGCCTGTTGTTTTAATACGTCTGAAGTATAGGTCGCCATTGACTTCAAATTAAGTATTGGATTTGGCTGCAACACTGTGAGTCTACTGAAAATGTTAACATTGTTTGCTTTAACAGACTTATTTGTTAATTTTGATTCTTCAACAGGTTATAGGTGACATTTTTCCTCCATAATGTATTTGCTGATGCTGATATAATTACTCATCAAGTGTTTTTTTGCTAATTGAATATGAATACAGAACTCTTGTACACATACCATCTCCTGTCTCTGCTTGGCGTTGTTCATGCTGCTCTCCAGGTCCTGCAGCAGGTTGTACATCTGCTGGATCTCCGCCTCCGTGTGAGTCACACTCTGCACCATGTTCTGCAGCTCCACCACTCGCTCATCTGTTTCTGTCTGAAGTCAGAACATCAAACTCTCATCACTCATCACATGTGAGTCTGACCTCAAACCCACACTGATCTCCCAGGTTTCTCTCTCACTTACAATGGAGTTCTTGATGTTTTTGACGTTCTCCCTCATCCTCTCCATCTGAGTCTTCAGCTCCTCAGGAGACTCCACGATCTGAGACTTGAGTTTGCTGATGTCTTCTTTCAGGTTGCTGACGTCCACTTTCATCTGGGCCTGTCTCACACACAGACACACACCTCTTTAATAGGAGGCCTTGGCTCTAACTGTATGTTGGTATTTGTTAGCTATCTCTCTGAGGAGGTTTGGGACGCCACCCCAAAGAATGACTTCATATTGTGAATTCTTTAATATTTAAGTCACAGTCACATACCAGTTTCTGAGACTTCTCTGCGATTTTGGTTTTCCACTCAGCGATGCAGTCGTTTTTTACATTCTGAAAGGAGACGAGTTGATTTTACTTTGACTTAACAGCTCACACGGCATCAGGCTTTATTCTGAGAAGAACAGCTCTATTCATGTAACTTCATTTATGTTTTTTTCTGATTGTGTTTCATCATCACTTACAACTTCCTGGCATTCATGCATGGTGGTGGCCTGTAGTTCAGACACCGTGGCCGCCAGCTCGTCTGCCTCAGCCTGCTGCTCCGGTGGGATGGTGCTGAACGAGGACAAAACACATATGTCAGTGTAGAGGACGTACAATTCACTGTCTTAATTCTTGGGATACTGTAAAAATATTTATCAATGAATAATCATTCATGACAAAATTAGTAAAACTGTTTTTTTTGCTACATAAATAAAAACAATTACATTGATTTTAATGCTTAATAAGAAAAGAAGGAATTATAAATCTATAATGAAACTTACCTTCAGCAACAAGCTTCATTATTTTCAATATTACTTAATTCTAATATTCTTTCTAAACACTGTTTGTTTAATCTATGAGTGAAACGTGTCCACCGACAGTTCAGGGGAGTGTCTTTGAATTTGCTTCTTTTGTCGAGCAACTGTAAGTTTCCAAAATATCACATTGAAGGAAACTATGGAACTGAACTGAACTGGAGCATCACAAGCCAGTTAAGATTAAGTCTCTGAAGCTAAATGAAACCTTTTTAGGGACATCTTGACACAGAGAGTTTTATAGTCATATAGAAACCAAACAACTAGATCTTACGTCAGCATCTCAATCTTTTTCTCTGCTTCTCGATTGCCTCTGGTGTAGGTCTGCAGTCTGTCCACGTCTGCCCTCTGAAAACAGAGAAATGAGATGTTACAACACGTGAAACTCTGAACACACAGCAGGGTAATGGTTACTAGCTTGTAACGAAATAAAGAAGATTGGTGTTGAAAAAATGCCCTTATCAAGAAATATGGTGAGAGCCCATTCTTTAAAAAAGATCAAGATTAAAACATGATTATAATACAATATAGTCCTAACTCTGTATGAATCATTAATCACATCAGAAATATTTACCAGGATATTTTCAATAAATGTAGTTTTATTATATCTTGGTAAGTTACCACAAACTGTTTAGCAGAGGAATAGGTTGAGACTATTTACAGGAATGTGTTGTGCTTCAACAGAGTGTATGTTTGGGAACCTTTAAACTGTTTACTCTTGAGATACTATATCACTGGTGGGGGTTAGCAGTAAGCTAAAAGCTAACATTGATCCCTGTTCTGTCCAGTGTAACATACAAATTTGGCCTGCTTCTCCAAGACCAAGTCCATCCTCTGCTTCCTGAAGTGAAGGAAGTTCATGATTGCACTCAGAACAGTCAGAGTCTTCTGTTTCTCTGGAAAGGAACAAGAGTCCATTGTCAGAGGACTGGTTACAAGTACCTGTGCAGTAGCCAGTGAAATATGGGGGCATTTTGTTGTAATAAGATTTTGGAAAGAACTGAACTTACTTGGGGCTAGCAGGTCATTCAGTGAAAAATCATACACCAGGCACATGGGCAAAAACTGCCGCCTAAAAAGATTTACAAATGAAATTACATTACATACACAACACAACACATTTGTTGTAACACACAGTAACAGTTTATAATCTTGAGAGCATTTTCTGATTGAAAGCAGCCATATAGAAAAGTAAGTACAGTAGAAACGTGATAAACTGAGATTCATCAATATGCATCAAATCGTGAATCATAATCCAATCGAATTATGAGGCTTGTGAAGAATCACATAAACCCATCACAGGCTGGTGCACACTGTGGACCTGTATATGCAGAAGATACGGTAAGAAAACTCACATGCGCATGTAGACGCTCATGATAGCAGTTGCTCCCTCATGATAAACTGGATACTGAATGTTCTCCAGAAGTGGAACCTGTTGGAAAACCAAAACCAAATCAAATGCATGAGGTGATGACACTGTGACATTCACTACATCACATCTTATACACATGTCAGGTGGTGAATGTGACATTTAGAATATAGACGAGCCTGCTTGGTTTAAAGTTGAAGTCATGAGCTCTTTCGTAAAGTGAAACATGATTATTAAGGAACAGCTCTTACCATGGAGTGACACTCGGGTCGGAAACGATACAGGAGATGCAGCACTCTCATGTACAGTGTTTGAACTGCCTCTGGCTGTAAGAGAGAATAACTAATTGTTATGATAGTGGTCTGTAGATTATATGATCATAGATGATGACTGCAAATCAAACAGCATCTCCAACTCAAAAACCTGATGAAGTGCAGCTACAGTTGGTTTGACACCCAGTCTCAAAGTGTGAACATAATGAAAGGACGTGTTTGGATCTTTTCCTCACATTTACACTAAAATACATTCCTTCCTCTTGATTATACTGGTTGATTTATGATCCCTTTCTAACGAGACCCCAGTGTAAGAGATGAGGGACAAAATCCTGAGTTATTATTCTGTGGAAAAGCATCAATCTGAATTTAGGGTGCAACTACCTCATATGGTTTTTTATCAGTTCATCTGCAGATCGCTCTCTCTCAATTAAACGTTTTGTTGATAAAATGTTGCACAGCCTGAGGGGATGTACATGAGGGGATTACATGTTTTTGGTTTATTTAACCCACAGTCTAAATCATATAATATCCCTTGCTAGACACGTTTCTATCTGCGACAGGAGTTAGAAAACATTCAAAACATACAATCACAGAATGCAGACACCTACAAACACCGGTGACCTGCTCACTCTCCTGCAGACGGTGAGCTGATCACTCTCCTGCGGACGGTGACCTGATCACTCTCCTGCGGACGGTGA